GGGATCCGAACCGGGGCCCTCTGGCATCCCAAGCCAGCTCTTAACCAACGCGCCACTCAGCAGGCCCTGTAGATTTTTTTTGTAGATACTCTATCAGAATGAGAAAATTCTCTCTATTCCTTGTTTGCTGTATTCATTTTATTTTAATATTTATAGGCCATTATCACTAACAATTAGCTTGCTGAACAGAGTATAGGATTGCTTGGTGTAGGTGTTTTATCTTTAGGATGTACAGTCATAATAGTATATACTTAAGTATTGAAATAATTCTCCTTGTGATTATATACCAACTATTATGTAGATTTAGTTATTTGTTTTAGTTTTTTATTTTTTTATTTTTAGGGATATTGTCCTTTTAATTTTATTTTTAAATTATGTAAAACTTTTACACGAATCTGGTCAAAACTGATAAAATACTTTAAAAGAATACTTTTACCTTCTCCTCAATCTGTTTTTCTACTCCTATAGCTAATCTAGGTAACTATTAGTTTTTGGTTTATCTTTCCATTGTTCCTTTTATATATAGAAAAAGTCGTATGTATATGCATTGATATTCTTCCCCCTTATTAAAAACAAAACAGGGGCTACTGTAAAATATACTATTTTACACTTGACAATATATACTGGAGATCACTCTTAGCTATATGCAGAGTTCTCCCTCATTAAAACTGTACTGTTCTTGATTAAAACTTATTAAAATTGTGAGGTCTTAGGAGCTGGAGAAAGAACCCAAAGCCCCATGCTCCCTGGTGTGTGTAGAGTTATTTTACCTTCCAGTCATAGAGGAGTACCCACTTCTGTCACAAAGAAGTTGTCTTACTCAGCAAACATTTGTAGCAACCTTTTGTCTATAGACCAGGATGAAGCCTGAAGATGGGTTAGACTGAGACCAACACCGGGGCACAGTTAATTGATATGCATAACTCACCCTGAGGAAGTGAACCAATTTCTGACTCCATCCATATGCTGTCATACCCCCTCATCTCTCAGCACATTGAACTGAGGCACTTTTGGACATGACTTTAAATTTACGTTATTTTTAATACGTTAATTGAGGAGAGATTGTGTGATATCAGTATATTTGGTGATGGAACTAATGTCCCAGTTATCTAACATAATCAGGAACAAATTATTATGCATAAATGAGCTTTGCCGGTGATTGAAGTGTTGACGAAAAACATCCAGCCTAAGAGAAAACTTATGAGTTTATTTGAGCCAAACTGACAATTGCCGGGAAGCAAAGTCTCAATGGATTGAGAAAATGCTCCAGAAAATCACCGTTTTGCAACTTATTTTGTACAGTAGAACCCAAAGAGGAAGGTTATATGAAATCCATTGGTTTTAGATTAAGGGAGTGGGAGAAAGCAAAGCTGGGAAATCTCTGGGATTAGATTAAAAGTAAAATGGAGAGACACATTTCTTTTACATCCTTGGGTACAGGATAGTTAATAGCATTTTACAGCACATAGAGATAGTATTTGTGTGTCACAGTTGTCATCTTTCAATGCCGAGCACCTACTGTGTGTCTCTTCCCTGCCTCACCTCCCTTGGAGGAAGCCGTATTACCCTTGAGCAGAGGGGAAGCCGGGGGCAGGAAGGGTGTGCAGTGTGAGGCTTGCCCCCTCCCCCACTGTCTTTTACCAGAACTCACTGTGTGATCTTGGGCCAATCTCTGACCCCTTCAATTTCTCAATTACAGTGGTAGTGAGGGGCGGTGCAGATAACTGATTTCCAGGGGTATCAGGAGCCCCAAATTTCCTATTATACATTTAAAGAGTTTAAAATCATTTCAATCCCTCCCCTTCCCCCAAGTCTTCTGCTTTTGGTGAGCCCTGGGATGGGGCTACAGGTAATAATAATATCAACAGAGCACCCTTTTTGCATGTTTATTCGGCGACTCTACCAGTGCTAAATGCCTCCTCTGTAATTCTCCCCAAACCTTAATCTGAGACATCCTGGGCCGGATTCTTTCTTGGCCCCGCGCGCCCATTGGATGATCAAGATGCAGAGGTTCCGGAGGGTCTTTTCTTGCAGCCCCAGGGTCCCGCCCTTGAGAATCTCCTCCCCGACCCTGCGGGAAGGTGGGGGTGGAGGTG